CTTGTGGTCATTCTCAGAGCTGGAGTCTTGGGGGTGGGGACAGAACCCTCCGGAGGACAGGACCAGCCAAGGAGGCTCTGGTGCTGTCCTGAACGCTGGGCCTTCCGGGCAGCTGTGCTTGGTGAGGAAATGGACACAGGTTTGTGCTGGGCCTTCTCTGAGGACCAGCCCAGGACCTTCCTATGTAGCTTTCAAAGAAATTTATAAAAATTCATCAAAAGCCAGCATGATTCTGCCTATAGCCTGCCTTCTCCTCCCCCCTTTGTTAAACAGCCACTTGTCCCCACTTTGGTCTGGTCTCCAGAGAGCTTTGTAACTGATTTGAATAAAAACACTAGGGCAGGCCTTGGCACAGCATTGCAGACCCACCCTGCCTCTTCCTTCGAGAACAGGGAAGGGGGAGGTTCAGACAGGACTGTGGGAGCCGTCCCTTCCCTCAGTGGGTGACAGTGGGTGCCACCTCCTTCTCTCCTCAAAGGCACCCACCCTGTGCCAAAATCCAAGGAGACCCACAGGTTTCAAGTCCTGCCAGCATCACTCAGGATTGCGGGCTGAGGAGGAGGCAGCCCCCCATCTCTGCCTGGTGCCCTGGTGCTCGGTCTGGGTAAGACTCTGGATTCCAAATCCCAGCCCGAGAAGGCACGCTGTCGCCACACACCCAGATGACTGCATAGACTCGTCCCACCTTGCGAGAGGCACATTTCCATGCGAGGAGGCAGGGACTGGCGCTGTGAGCACCTATCATGTGAAGGAGGGGCTTCAGTCCACAAGGGTCAGCCTGGGAAACCTGCTCAGTGTGAGCCTCACTTCAAAGAGGTTGCCTGCAAGCTGGAGGGCACCCAGGATGCTGCAGGATCTTGACACAAGTTCATTAAAAGAGGCAGACTGCTTAGCCTGGAGAAGCACAGACTCCTGGGGGACCAGATCACACTCTTCAAAGAGCAGAAGCCAACATCAGAGGGAGAATGGAGGAGAGATAGGGTTATTCGTACATGTATATGTGGAGCGGCCATAGGCTTATGGATTTTTAGAACTGAACAGACCCCCCCCCCCAAGGCCAACGCCCTCTGTATGCACAATAAAGGGAAGTTGGCCGCCTATGGGCAGGTATCCATTTTTTTAGTTTTTGTGAATCCATGTGTAGTTATTCACGTGCTCACCTACACACACAGCTCTAGCTTAAAGCAGATCACTCTGAGCAGCACGTGCTTGTCGAGAAGTCCCATCAGAGGGATAAAACTTAACCCATCACCAGCAGAACTAGCTTCAAGCACTGTATCCCAAACCAGGAGACCACTCCATCCCGCCATTCACAGAAACTGCAGGCTTTGCTGGCTAGTAGGCCTGCCAACATGTTGCATGGCAGCCACGTGCCAGTGTCCCCATAGCCAGCACAGGAGGCTTGCCAGGGTCGCCCTGCAGCCCCAGATGGTGGAGCCAGGATGCTGGGGGCACAGAGACGGTGGGCTCAGGGTGAGGCGGGCACTTCTGTTGTGGCCATGGAGCCACGGGACAGAGGGCATCTGGTGGTAGTGAGCGTCCTGTCAGGGCAGAGCAAGTAAGACCACCTGTGGTGGATGTTGTTAAGGATAATCTTGTCCCGGGTGGGCAGTTGAGAGACATCTCTGTGGTCTCGGCCTATTTGGAAATTCCACAATGTTCTTGTTCTCAGAGCTCTGGGAATGGGTGATGTGGAAGCAGAGGGTGTAGGGAGATAATGTTCACCCACACCTCAACGAACCAGGATAATCTGTCTGTCCTGCGGAGACAGATCAGGAGAAAGAGAATGTGTCCTCAGGAGGGAGGTACCCAAATAGAGCATGCGTATTTATTTCTCCTGAAGCATCATCATCTTTTAGTAGCACATTGGACCACGGGCAAGGAATTGCTCTTAAGGGATTGTCACTTACATGGACGGGGGGCCCCGAGAGACCTGTTATCCAAGCCCTCCCCACCCCCCTGGTAGCCAGAGTGTCCACGGGGCTCTAAGATCCCAGGTTTCTGGCGCTGGCCCACCCAGCTTCGAGCCATGTTTGATTTAAAAATGGAGGAACCGATAGCACTGGTCCCCCAGGCTGGAATGCAGACACGAAGGCCAGGTACCTTCCACTGTGAACTTGCAGATGACGTCTTAGGTGGAACCATAAGAGGAAAGGAATTCAGACACTGCCAGGTGTTTGCTGTCACTGGGTTTTGTCAGGCCTCTTACAGGAGCTGCAATCTGCTCATGAACTGACTTGCTCACTGCCTGGGCCAAGGCCCCTGCCCTCTAAGAACATAAGCTTTATGAGGACGTGTAAGATCCCTAAAACTGGGACAGTATCTGCTTCATAGCAGGTGCCCAATGTTTGCGCTGGCACAGAGGGACAGCGGAGCTGTGACAGTGAGGGTGGTGGGGAGTGCTAGAGCTGGGGAAGGGCCCTCTGCACTCAGCTGCCAGGCATCCTCCTATTCTTCCACCCTCAACACTCTCCCACTACCCCGTAGAAAGGAGGGTGCCAAAAGGGCTCAGATGCGAGCCGGGAGCCCTGTCCAAGCCTGATGAGGGTGAATTCAAGGCAGATGGACTCCATGGCTGCTGGCCCCTCCCTCTCCTCATTGCAATCCACAAGGCCAAAATCGAGTCCTCATCACATATATGTGGCATAAAAGAATGAATGAACGGCTGGGTGCCCTGGTCGCAAGAACCTATGCCGAGCCCACCCCATTAGCCCCCAAACTGGAGTTCAAGATCCTGGAATCAAAGTGAGTCAGTTCTCAGCCAATTCACAAATAGTGTCACCAAGGAACGGTTTAGCCACAAAGAGATAGAGTTTCTGTGTATGCCAGTGCAGGTGTGAAAACTTCTGTGTGTCAGTTTGCACGTGTGTGTGTGTGTGTGTGTGTGAGCATGTGTCTGTGGATTGAGTGTGTGTGCCCATGCAAAGGTGTGTGTGTGTGTGTGTGTGCGTGTGCATGTCTGTGCATATGGGACCATCTGCGTGGGGGTATTCGCACGCACTGGTGTGAGACAGCGTGCGTGCATGGAACTGTGTGTTGAATGCTTGGCTGCAGAATCTGAATTTCCTCTAGTACTATTTTTCCTGGTACACACCCTATCTTGATCCCTTTCTTTTCCTTTCTTCTCGGAAATCCATTACCGAAAGATTTTTTTTTTTTTACCCGCCTCCAGGGGAAGGGGGGCTGGGGGAAGGGGAAGCTAAAATCACAAGGCCCAGATCAAAACACTCAGCCGCTAAATGAATTCGGCAGCGTTTTCCCGCATGACTTGGAGGGATAATTTAGTGAGGCCGCCAGCTGGAAGGAAAGGGATTAATTCTGCACTTAGCACAGCTCCGGTGAATAATTCATCACTGAGACCTTTGTGCCTAGCCCCTGGGCAACCGGGGAAGTGTCCTGTCCACCTGCCTGTTGCCTGCTGGGTCCCCCAGTGGCCTGACCAGGGGCACTTGATGCTCCTTTCCGTCCTCAGGACACATGTGTTCCCATGAAGGGACAGGAGGCAGGGGGAGGTGAGGAAGGGCCAGGCACTGGCCACTGACAGACTCTAGATACTGAGAAGAAGCTGTGGAGGGGTAAGATACAGTCTGGGAAATGGGTGACTTTTTCTCCAAGGACTCTGCTTCACTTTCTTGGGGCTGCTTCTGTGTCCTCCCCTCTCGGTACCTTCTTGGTCCTACACCTGGTGTGGTGGTGGTGGTGGTGGGAGTGAGGGTGGGTGTCAGGCTGTCTCTAACAAACTCTCTTTCACCAGGAATCAGAAGACAATGCAGAACATTCCACAGGCGAAGTGCTGATGGGAGGTCCCAGGTACTCACCGGAGGCCTTACGGGGACATAGTTTCAAGTTGCTACGTTTCCAGATACATGCTTCTTACCACACACCATATAATTCTCTGTGTTCTCCATGGGTCAGGTCACAGGGCCAAGTATTACCCCAGCACTGGTGGCAATTTTTCCTGGTGTGGGAAGCCGGTGGGAGGGGGCTGACCCAGACGCCAAGTGCCTGCCTGTAGTTCCTTCGTTCATGGTCCTGAACTGCCCACATCCCGGCTTTGTGCCTGTCTTAGCACCACAGACCAAAGAGGGGAAGAATTCCAGCAGGCCAGGTGCACTGGAGCCAAATGACCAGGGTTCAACCAGGACTCAGAGTCCAGGGAGGGCTGGCTAGAGGAAGAGATCCCATCCGTCTGGCAGGGCTCAGAGCCAGTGGTATCTTTCCACTTGGATCAACCCAGCTGTAGGAGGCAGGAGTCCAAAAATGGGCGCCCAAGATTCCACACCCTAATCCCCAGGACCCATGCCTATGATGAGCTGTGACCCCTGTGATTATGATACATGGCATGGCTGACCTTGAGTTGGGGACATTCTCAGAGTGGGCCTCTCTTAATCACATGAGCCCCTTTAAAGCAGAGGGTTTTCTCTGGCTGCTGACAAAGGAGAAATAGAGTTTTGAAGTGTCAGGGGGATTTGACCTGCCTGCTGGCTGAGAGATGGAGGGGGCCATTGTGAGAAGGAATGTAGGTTACCTTTACCAGCTGAGGGGACCCTTGGCTGGCAGTCAGTAAGGAAACAGGGACCTTGGTCCCATGACTGCGGGGAACTGGATTCTGATGACCCCCTAATGAGCCTGGGAGCACACTCTTCCCCAGAGCCTCCAGAAAGGAGCGTGACCTTGCCAGCATCTCAATTTGAGCCGTGCCATGTAAGACTGTCTACCCTCACTTGATCCAAGTGAGCCAGGCTTGGCTTGGGCTGGGTTAGAGGCTGACTCCCAGGTCTGGGTGGCCCTCTGCTTTCAACTCTCCTCTTCCTAATATCGGCTCTCTGTCTCGTTTTCTGGAGCCTCAAATAACCCTCAGACATTTCTATCCAAAGCAGCAGTCCCCTCCTTCCAGAAGCCCCTGGCCCCAGCCCCTGAATGAGGCCAGCAATTATGAAGGAGGGTGGAATCCACTGCAGGGCTATGGGACCTGGCACATGACTGCCAGGCAGCCTTACCTCAGAGGAGAGCAGCTGGAAGGAGATATCCACTGTAGGGGCCTCACCATTGATGGTTTTCAGCTTGGTGTCCTGGGGAGGAGAGAGGAATAGTCAGCCTGTGCTGGCCAGCGCAGCTTCTGCCTCTGATCTGCCCACTATTTCAGATTCCCCAAGAAGGGGCCTGCTGGGCCCTCTGCCTGGGGATTGAGAGGGAGGCAGGAGCTGGTCCCCCGCCTCTGCTCACCCCTCCCGCCTTGAACTTCCCTCCTCAACTCCACTGAAGACCTGACTGTCATTTCCAGACCTGCTTCCTGGAGGAGTGGGGGAACTCCCATTGACTGAGGTCTATTACAACAGGATGGCCAGGGAAAAAGTTGGCATAGAAATAAATGATGTATTTATCATATATATATTATATATATATATATATACACACACACACACATATATATATACATACACACATATATATAGTCTCAGTAAGATTTAATACATTATTATATATTATATATAATATACATTATTATATATATAATATATATTCTTTTCTAAGTACTTTACATGTACTTCCTCAAAAAAAAAAGTCTCACATCAACCCTATGAGAAAAATTCCATTACTATGACCCCATTTAACAGACAAGGAAACTGAGGCACCAGGACTTTAATTTTCCCATGGTCATGTAATCTGGTAAAGGGTGGAACCAGCATTTGGACCCACATAGTCAGGCTCTAGAGACTGGGCACTTGGCTCTCTTGTCACACAGACCCTATACAGGCATGTTGTTCCCATATTAAAGACGGGCACTCCGAGGTTCAGAAAGTCTAAGAAACTTGCCTAGTTGCACAGTAAGAAGGGCAAGTCAGGATTTAAACCCAAGTCTCTCTGGTTAAAGGCCTGAGCTCTTGCCACCGTCCCATGGGGCTTCCCTGTGTTTCTCCTCACACTGCTCAGGGCAGGAGCTGAGGGAGCGCCTTATACCTGACTGCGGTTGGCTTCCGTGGTGGGGGCCCTGGGGGTGGGGGTGGAAGCTACTGGAGAAGCCAGTCACTGGTGTCAGTGGGGCAAGATGGAACAGGGTGGGCTGGGGCAGGAGTGGGCCACCTGGTATGGGCTCTGGTCAGGGCGGGGCACTCACGGTGATGGGAAGCTTCTCCACACGCAGCCCATTCGCACCCTTCCCTGCCAGCATCTTGCGGTACAAACGGCTCTTTAGCGGCAACACGGAGACACCCAGGGGCTTGCTGAGGGTCCATGGCTCACTGCCTTTCACTGTAGGGGGAGGACCAGCTGGGACTCCCACCAAAGCCCCCTAGGATCCCAGTGTTGGCGGCCCCGGCAGGCACCCCAGTCCTTCTGTACCCAACATCCAGTCACCCCATGCCTCTCCGTTCCTGCCTCCTGGCCTTGCCCTGCACAACTCTCCTCCTTCTCTGAACTTGGCTCTGTGAATTCAAAACCACCTCTCCACATATTCTGCGCTTCTGGGTGTGTATACAGATCTCCCCTGTCTCTGGCCTTGGGGTCTCTTTACTCTCTCCATGTGGAACTCAGACTGTATGTAGATCAGTGGGTCTCTGAATCCAGTTTCCCCTCTATGCTGTGAGCCCTGGGGGGATCTGACCCTCCCTCCTCACTGACAGGTCCGTGGGGATGGGGTAAGGCACTGGTCTAATATGGGAATAAGACAAATGTGTGCTGGCCCGTGCCAAGGAACAAGGACAAGGAAGCCAGCCAGGAGCTCCTCCACCTGCCCGCATGCACTGGAACCGCGTCCCCTTCACCCACCCCCGCAGAGGGCAGAGGCAGGTGGTCTGAGCACCCTTCGCATGTATGTCCTGAGGCACGGCTGCCCTCGCACCGCACCCAAGGGACACTCACTGGAAGCCGAGGAGTAGTACTCCAGCACCAGGGCTGTGTCTTCCGAGAAGTTGGTGGCTCCATCTCGGCCTTGGAAGAGGAAGGATTGGTTCCATAAAGGCAGCTCTGGGGGTCCCGCTGGCTTGGACAGCTGAAAGGAGACGTGGGAGTAGACAGTGGGGCCATAGCTTCTCCCCAGTGAAGGGATGTCAAGACATGGCCATCTGTGCGTCTACACATGTCACAAATGTTTGTCCCAATTGTAAAAAGCAACATGTGTGTAATAAATGAATTGTGGAAAACACAGAAAAGTAGAACGCTTAAAAAGAAAAACCTAGGGGTGCCTGGTGGCTTAGTCAGTTAAACATCTGGTTCTTGATCTCTGTCTGGGTCTTGTTCTCAGGGTCATAAGTTCAAGTCCCAAGTTGGGCTGGGTGTGGAGCCTTCTTAAAACAAAACCAAACACAAACATCCCCCCAAACACACCAAATTCCTACACTAAAGACAACTATCCTAGGACAGCGTGTTTCTTTCTAGTTTTTTTGCTAAGCCTACTTTGTAGATAATTGTGATCCTAACATCCTATGTTTTTCATTTACTGTGAAAACCTAAGTATATCCAGAGTCACAAATAATGCTCGGTATCCATGATCTTTGTAGCTGCAGGGTTTTTTGTCATGTCCAGGAGCCCTGGTTTCTCCCTTCCCATGTTTTCCTAGAATAGTTCTGTATTGAATATTGTTTGATGTGGATTTCTGAGTCTCAGATTATTTCCCAAAGACCCGAAGTGGAAATGCTGAATTAAAGGACATGCACTTTGGGGCACCTGGGTGGCTCTGTCGGTTAAGTGTCTGTCTTCAGCTCAGGTCATGTCCAGAGTCCTGGCATTGAGTCCCACATCGAGCTCCTTGGTCAGTGGGGAGCCTGCTTCTCCCTCTGCCTCTGCCTGCCGCTCCCCCTGCTTGTGCTCTGTCTCTCTGTTTGACAAATAAGTAAATAAAATCTTTAAAAAAAAAAAAAAAGGATGTACATTTTAAGGCACTACAGTATTGACCAGAGTCCCTGAATAAGGGGCTCTAGGAGACATTCCCAAGGATGGCCACCAAAGCCGTCTCGCAGGAAGCAGGACCTGAGGAAGGCTCTGAAGTAATATTTGGCAGGGCGAAGGGAAGGAGGGAGGACTTCTGGCTGGGAAAATCACCAGGACAACAGTGGAGGCGGCTCCAAGCATGGCAAGGGTCGAGGATGCCTGGAATAAGGAGGGACTGCAGGTGGAGGAGGTCGAGCAGCTGCAAAGGCTGGAAAGAAGGTGGGGAGTGGGGAATGGACCATAATGGCATCGGCCAGCAGCCCCACACAGTCGGTCCCAACACAGGGAGGGACTGGGGTCACCGGGGCAGACTCTTCCAGAGGCAGCCTGGCCTCTGTCCCCAGCCAGGGCTGTCAGCAACAGCACCAGCTCCCACCTCCCGCTCCCCTGCAGGAACCAGTCATTGCTCAGAAAGGTCAGCACAAATGCTCCGCTGGATCTCGAAATATCAGTGTGGGTCTACCCACCCCCACCAGTAGTGGCAGGGCTCTGATGCATGTCACACTAATGTGTCTGCTCTGGTTCTCCAAGGCCCCGCCTGAGGCTCAGCTGTGTCCACTTCGGCCCCTGCCCCCGGGGGACAGGGGGTGCAGTCACTTTGGGGGCCAGGGGGTCCTGAACACAGGGACAGGGACTGGGGTGATGGGGCTGTTCCTGAGAACGGGCTCTGGAGGTCGCTCAGGGACAGCCACTTGGCCCCAGGTCAGGCTAGAGAGGCTGCCTCCAGGTTCTGTGGGGCTTGGAAATGGTCTTTCAGGATTGATCCCCAAACCATGCCCATCCCAGAGCCACCCCACTGAGTGCCAGAGGAGGCTTCCCCATTGCCTGGACCACTGCCAGGCCCTGAGGCACTCAAGGAGGACCTGTGACTCAGTCCCTTGCTGCCCCCATGCCTTGCTCCCACCCTGGATGGGGGGAGAGCATTTAATGGATGCTGGCTGTCCTCTCCGGGGCCTATTAATGTGTCTAAATGGAGTCTACTGAACAAGAAATAGTGCCTGACTGCTCAGGAAGGACAGGTCTTTCCCTGAATGGTTTCCCAGGATGAGTCCTCCAAGAGATATCCCTTCAGACCTACAGCCGGGGAGAGAGGGTCACACTCTCTTGTGGGTGGGGGAGGGGGAAGGAATCAAGGTTAAACCACCTCTGGAGTCTGACGCCAGGGCCCTGGTGAAGGTGTTGGTGGCATGTGTGTGTGGGGAGGGTTGGGGGCAGGGTGTGGGGCGGGGAAGCCATTGACCACAGAGGCTAATGGGAAAGGCCACAGCAGGCTGTGGAATTAAGGAATGTGATTAACCTTCAGCTGTGATCTTCAGCAAAGCCATTAACCCCTGGCCACTGAGGCAGCCCTGCCTTCCCTAGGAACAGAGGTTTCATTACATGGGCCCATGGGCCCTCCTTCCATTTCCCCTGGGCCCACCGCACCCACACCCCCACCTAACACTACCTGCTCCACCCATCCTGGGAAGGGTAGCTGCCAGCAGCTGATGCTGGGGGGCCTCCGGGGAGCTATGATACACGGGCTCTGGGCCCAGGTTTGCCTCAACCTTGCTGTGTGACCTCTGGCAAGTCCCTTCCCCTCGCTGGAACCTGAGATGTCACTGTCCACTGGGAAATAACTTCTGCTCTACACCTTGGGGGCTGTTGTGTGGGTTGAAGGAGAAAATGGATGCTTTGCCTTCAAGACCAAAGTTCAACTGAACTCAGCTGATGCTGACTGGGGTTGTCCGTGCTCTACACCTCAGGGGTGCTGTTGGGTCTTTGGGGGAGCTAGAGTCAGACCCTGTTCCCTCTCGAGCTCACCATCTTCCCAGGTGATAGGACACACACACACACACACACACACACACACACACACACTCCTATGACCGATGCGGAGGTCTAAGCAAGTTGTGGGTTGTGGGTGCTGGGGTGTTGGAGAAGAAAGCAACGACCCTTGACTGGGGGAAGGGAGGATCTGTGGGAGGAGGTCTATTCCAGGCTGAGTGCAGCAGAGGGGAAGGCTGGCAGCCCAGAGAGGACAGCATGCATGTGGAGACAGCTGGGCATCCAGAGAACCTGCAGAAAGCCTGTGGGGGTTGGGGCTGTGAGCCAGGAGGCTCCAGGGGATGAGGCCTTGTGTCCCCGGCTGCCAGGGAGGGCTTCAACCTGTCCAGGGTCCAGGGGAAGGGTCTAGAGCTGGGTCGGGTTTGCCGTGGCTGCTTCTCACAGGCTGAGCTGGAGATGCCTGAGTGGAGGCGTTGCGGTGGTCCATAAGAGATGAGGCCAGCACGAGGGCAAGGTCTGCGGGATGGAAAGGGGTCCCGGGACAGCCTGGGGACCGACTGGCCGAGGGGGCTGAGACAGAGGAGACAACGGTGGGCACAGACAACTTCTCTGCTTCTGTTTCATCAGCCGGGAGCTCTGCCTCAGTTCTAAAAGGAGGGCAGGCCAACAGGAGCAGCCTGATGGGCAGTGGCCCCCCCCACAAAGGTGTGGGATGCAGGGTATGAGTAATTCCTAAGTCCCACCCTATTTTGGGCCCACGGGCCCAACTATCCCTTCACTGACCAGTTTTGCTATCATCAGCAGTTCCCAGAGGGGTGACGCAGACACTATGCCCTTCAACCATTTCTGTCTCTCTCTCTAACCAACAGAACCCGCTTTGGTCCTGGTGCCAAAGCAGGTGATGCCACGCCCCTCCTCAGTGATTGGCTGAGAGCAGGGCATGTGATCCAATTCTGGCCAATGAGACCAGAGGGGAGGTCTGCGGAGGGTCTCCGGGTGGGAGGTTCCCCGCGCTTCAGAAAAGCCAGGGGTGAGAAGGGGAGGCTCGCTCTCTCGGGTCCTGCTCCTGTCTGGATGAGGGTGCCGCGAACATTTTGCCTCCATGAGCTGTTAGTCAACTGAAGATGGCAATTCAGTGGTGTGGAGAGATCCTGAGTCCTGAGGACGTTGTTGAGATGGTGCATTAACCGATTCTAGCAGCATCCTATGCGGGGGACCTCTTGCCAAGGGTAACAAGTAACAAGGCATCCTTAGAGCTTAAGTCCACGGGGTTACTTGTAGCCAAATATAACAAGGGCAGTGGTGAGGCTGGCTTCAGGGGGCATCCGACAGTAGGGGAGGGGCAGCTCTGAAAGGGACGAGCCCCCTGAACCTCCGCCCTGGGCTTGGACGCTGTGCCCAGCTGAGTCCTTCATGGCCTCCTAACAGCCCAGTAAAGGTAGGAATCTGGAACTGCAGAAACTGAGAAGGCTGCCAAAGGTCACGTAGCTACTAAGTCACAGAGCAGGGGTCAAACCCAGGTGGGTCAGGCCCTCAAATCCCCCGCCGCAGTGCTTTGCCATGGGGGTGGGGGCGGGAGTGGGCAGCTGGTGGGAAACCACGGCGACTCCAGACACCGCCACCCCTCAACTCAGGTGAGGACCCCGAAGTGTGGAAGGGGCGGGAGGGGGTAATGTCAGCCCGTGACTGGTATCCTTTCAGGTAGAGTTCCGCCCACCCGTATCTTGTACCACAGAAACCCCGCCCCTGTCCCTCACTTCCAGGAGTTCTCATCCTGGCCCAATTGCCATGTTGTCTAGTGAGCGTCAACAAGTGTCTGCCGTCACTGGACCTTGGGCCTTGAGTCTCACCCATGCACAAGGCATTGGAGGCAAGTCTCTGTAGCTAGGGGCAGCTCCACTACCAAGACTGGTTAGGCAGCAAAGGCAGCCAGAGACAGGCCGGAATAGGGAGGGGGCTTCCTCATTAAGACAGCCAGCACCTCCTGCCCCTTGGGACCACCTGCTGATTGGTTCATAATTTTCTGGGCAAATGCAGGGCCATGTGTGAGATGACTCTGGGGAAATCAGGCCAAGGATTGGTTTGGGTTTGAAGCCTCTGTCCCCAGGGTCCCCCCTTGTCCCACCCCTCCCTGCCACCATCACTCTTGTCTGTGTCTGAGCCTTCAAACGCCCTTGCCTTTTAAATGAAGGCTGGGGACTCAAAGGGGTGCCTCATTCTGTATTTGCCATGCCAGACATGAACAGTGGTGGGCAGACAACAAGAAGAACTTCCCAGGCACCCCTGTCTTCTTCAAGGCCTCTAGGAATGTTGGGACCATCATGTGGGGCAAGCTCCAACTGAAGTAGATGGGAACGGACTGATCTGGCCATTCCCTGGCACCCAGCCACAGTCTGCACACCCCACCCCAACATCTTCAATGTCCTGTGCATCCTATCTCCACTCCTGTGATCTTGTTTTCTGTTGCCCTGCACCATCCGTCCCCTGTTAAAAACTCAGTCTTATGTGTGGATACCCATCCTAATTCCCCAGACTTCACATCCCTCTTGCCTCAAATAAAAAAAAAAAATTTTATTGTGGTAAAATATACACAACATGAACTGTCCCATTTTAACCATCTTTAGACACACAATTCAGTGGCATTAAGTACATTCACTATGTTGTATAACCATCACCACTATTTCTGGAACTTTCTCATTAACCTAAACAGGAAAGTCTGTACCTATTAAACAAGAACACCTTGCTGTCCCCTTCCCTCAGTCCCTGGCAACCACCATTCTCCTTTCTGGCTCTATGAATTTGCTTACTCTAGGAACCTCATCTAAGTGGCTTCAGACCATATTTGTCCTTCTGTGTCTTGTCTCCTCTGATATTTCCAGCTCTGACCGTCCCACCGGCATCGTTATTAGATTACACATTATCTTGTGTTGATATTTGGGTTTTTCATGCGTGGGATACCCATCTTCACCAAACCAGGAGCGCCCCGAGGGCAGCTCCTCCACAGCACAGAGAGGCTTGGCTCTGGGTAGTAGCTTGTTCAGTAAACTCCTTAACAGTCCAGGGACTGAGGGAGTGAATCAACCCGTGGGTGAAACACTAGAGGTACGAGCCCAGTGACAGGGTGTGAGGGGGAAGGAGCCATACCTGAGGGCACCCATTCTGGCTGACCCGAGGAACATCAAAGTACATCACAGATGAGACAGGGAAGGAGAGTCGGGTGATGGGCAGCCCTACAAACGCTGGGTCCTGCTTTACCTGATGGACCCTGGGGAGGCAAGGAGACGTGGGTCAACCCACGAGTGTAACAGGTGCCCAGGGCTCTGGGCTCTGTGCCCCAGCTCAGCAGCCAAGGGCTCCCACGAAGATGGACTGTGGACTGATGTGAGAGAGGACGAGGGGGCCGGGGCCTGGACACCGGGACAGGGGGTGGATCGCTGGCCCAAGCCTTGGGAAAGTTCAACCAGGTCAGGAGATGGGCTGCAGCTCCCAGGCTCCCTTCCCCATGACTCCCTGTGGTCTGGGCCACACCTGAATGCCCCAGCGACCCCCATCTTTAAAAAGCCTCGCCTTTGGAAGTCCTTGCCAGAATGACCCACTCCGCAGTGGCAGTTCTGGTTTAGGCTTGGTGGGGCACAGAAGCTGCAAGGGCAGGATTCGGGGGGCAGGAGGCTGTGAGCGTGTGCACATGTGCTGAGCGTTTAGGAGGGCCGGGAGTGAGTGAATCAATCAGCTTCATTCCCACAACAAGCAAGGAGTGTTCCCAGGTCATCGGAACTCAACAGATGGTGTGTAGTGGAGTCCCATCGGGCCATCAGAGTCAGCGGAAGTGACAGAGCAGACAGCTGACCCCCAGGAGTTGGTGCTGTCACAGAGGACAGTGCTGTGTGACCTCCAGTGACCAAACTACCCTCAGGAAGGGCATCTGTCTGAGGACTGCAAACCCACCCAACCCCAAAGGTCGTCTGGGGAGGAGGGTCATGAGCTTCACGTGGGGCCATGGAGACCCTCGGGAGGGTAAGGAAGGGGACTGGTGGACAAGGCTAACAGTCATGAGGTCATGTGAGCTAACCCACAGGCGGCCTTCTTTGGGGACAACCACTGGCTGGAGGCTTGGCCTTGCACTAGAACAGGAGGGGGGACTGGGATGTGGTGGGTATGGGATGGGGAGGCAGGTCTGGAGGAGCTGAGGACTTGCTCTCCTCCTCCAGCTGCTGGTTCCTCTGCAGCCTGCTCTCGAGAGACTTCTGAGGCATCCCTTTCCATGGACCGTGGGCAACCTCCTGGGACCTCAGGCCCAGGGGGAGGTTTGAAAGGCCTTGTGGAGGATAGGTTTCTAGGGCTCTTGGGCTCATGGTCTGTGGTGACAATGGCAGCCTTTTGCCTCCTCTGTCCTCTGCCCTCCTTGCCCACACCCACCTGGGCCCCACTCACTTAAAATCATTGTAGTTGGGAACCACCCTGGCAATGACCACTATGGGGTGTGGGTTGTTGACCAGGGGCTCGTTGACTCCCCGGAGGAAGACCTGGGGAAGAGAAGAGGCAGGTGAACCTTGGGTAATTTTGGGCCCTCTTGGGGAAAAGGCCAACCCACCTACCATCTTTCGCCCCAGTAATGAGCTCATCCCTGCCTCCATCTATCTCACTTGTTTCATTCTCTGCAGACCTCCTTCAGGCTCTGGGCTAGGCATTGGGAAGGCAGGGGGAGAAGACACAGATTCTGTTTCCATACACCTCCACCGCCAACCCAAGAGATTCCTGATCTGGCTCCTGGCCCTCGCCCCTTACCCACAGAATGGGCTCACACTTATCCCTCTGCCCTCACCCTAACTCCCCCAGCTGTGATTCCCATGGCTCCTTTTACTTCTTTGACCCCCATCACTGGCCTCTGTTCTTCACCCAACCCATCCCTTTCCCAGGCAATTTGATACATGATGGCAAAAACTGCTTTTGTAAAAATGAATTGAACTATGTCATTCCCCTGCTTGAGACCAGGAATGACCATATTCCCACTGCCATTAGAGTGAATTCTGTCATTCTTACCATCATGGCCAAAGCCTGCATGTGTTGGCCTGTCTACCCTTGGCCCACATTTCCACCAATCCCCAACTCCTCCTTTGTTCCAGCCTCTTTTGTTTCACCCCTTCAACATGCTGATTTGTTTCTGCCTCAGGGCCTTTGCACATGATGATCCCTCTGCCTAGATTCAACATCCCCACCCCCAGCGACTCAGAGGCTGGCTCCTTCTTTTCCTTTAGGACTTAAATGTCACCATCTCTGGCAGGCCTTCTGCGACCACTCTTACTAAAAGCAGCCCACCCCATTCTCTAGCCCCTGGATTGCCTCTTCCATAGCGTTCATCATAGCCTGTGTTCATTCTCATTTCTTTCTTGTTCATGTTCTGTCCATCTGAGTAGAACCCAGGCTTTGGGGACCATGTCTGCCTTGTTCACTGCTGTTTCCCCAGCTGTTAACAAATGTCCCTGGCACAGAGTAGGAGCTCAGTTTGTGTTTTGGGGAGAAATGAGCTCCACTGATGGAGGAGAAGAGTGGAGGACAGGGGAAGGAGATGCTGAGTGTGCTTCGGAGCCAGAGAGAGACAGAACCTCTGATGCCTGGCGGGGGGTGGGGAGAGGGGCCAGGCAGGGGCCTCAGGGAGAGGCTGGGTTTGAGCTGTCCTTGGAGGGTAGATGGGGATCCTAACTATGGGGTGCTTAGGGGAGGAAAAACAGAAAGAGAAGGGGCTGTGAACACAGCTGAAGGGCCCCTCGCAACAGCTGGGTCATTATGTCACCATGGCCAGTCCCTGATCCACTCTGGACCTTTGGATCCCAGCTCGTACACTGAAGGGTGGGACCATACTGTCTCTGGTCCTCCTAGTTCTGACCTGCAATGGGAAGACAGTGCCTGGGAGCTGGGGCTTCCTCTGGCTCTTCTCTCTTTCCTCCTCCCTGAGCACTCCCTCCTGGGCCCCTCTGCCAGGACCCATCTTAGCTGGTGGCCTGTAAGGCCTTCAAATAATAGTGCTTAGGGCCATTCAGCACTAAAGGGGGCCCCTGGAGACTGACTCCCTCCCCAGATTCAAAGGACTGGATCTGGTGAAGGTGTTTCAAACTTTGGGTGGGGGCAGGAGTCTGGGCGGAGGGAGTCCGCTGCAGATGTGTCAGACCCTTGTGCTCACAGGGACACCAACAGGTATAGGGACTGAAAGCAGGTCTCTGAGAGGTTGAGGGGTGATGGCTAATTTACACCTGGTCTGTTGAATGGTCAGGTGTGAATGAGATAGCTGCCGCAGCACACCGGCTCATGACAGCTGGTGAGTGACAGAAGCAATTTCTCTGCCCACTGCGCTCTCCAGTCTGCTCTCTGGACCAGAAGTGGGGGGCATCTGTGCTGGGGACAGGGAGTGGGCGCACTGCTGGAGACTCTACCAGGTAAGTCTGGGGCTGGGGTAGGCATGGGGCAGATCGTCAGAGACCCCTGCAGTCTGGGTTTCTGCTGGGTCTTAAGGGTATTACCTTCTCACTGTGGGGCGTGGTGTGGCCTGGCCAAGCTGTGGCCATTCTTCCTAGTTCTGTGTGTGTTTGTGTATACGTGCATGTGTGTGTGTACACATGAATGTGTGTATGATTGCTGGCAGGTCTCAGGAAAGGGCGTGATGTAAAAGGGAGGGAGAATGGACCAGAGGGAGCATCCAATGGGGAAGCAGAGGTGAGGGTCAGGACCTCTGGACTTCCATCCCAGATTCTTTCTTCTTGGGTCCTGGTTCCCCAGCTGTGAAATGGGACTCAGGAGCAGTTCTTATAGTGCTGCGGGGTGGACCAGATCAGCCGAGCTGGGGCAGGGGAAGCCCAGAGTTTGGGCTTGGTGACCCCCGCCCTCCTTGGTGACCCCCGCCCTCCCCATCCCATTCAGGCCAATGCTGCATTTCAATCTGTCATCCCTGGCAGTTTGAAGGCCATGGGGGAAAGGGAGAGAGGGCAGGTTCCTGGGCATATTTCTGGAGTATGGCCCAGCCTTCTGAAACTGCTGGAAGGCTGAGGTTGGGGTAGAAGGTTGGGGACGGTGTGTGTGGAAGTTAGGTCCAAGCTGGGCCAGGCCTGGAGGAGGCTATGTAAACAGCTGTTGAATGGGTGAATGAATGCCTAATTAGAAGGCCAGCCAAACCTCTTCAGAGATAGGACTCAAAGAAGAGGGGAGAGGCCCTAAAATTGGGGGGATTGTAAGCCCTAGATCAGGGGTCACTACTTCAAGAGGAATAGACTAGGAGAGAAAACAGCTTTTCCTCCCCGCCCCCCCCCCCCCAATCCCATGAGATTCAGGCAGACATCAAGCTTTGGAAGCCTCCCGTTCTCCATCCTGCCTGCACAGTGTGTGAAGCAGAGCAAGAGGTGGCCAGGTTAGGGTAGGACGGGGGATCTGGAAATGTTGGGAAAGATTAGACATCATTTTCATCTCCATCCCTATCCCCATCATCCCTGAGATCCCAGGGCTTATCCTTCGCAAAGTACGTGGGCTATTCTGGAAAGGCCCTGTTGCTTTCTTCCCCAGACTCCCCTCCCTGCCTCACAAAGTCAAGCCAGTCAGAGGTGGTGAAGGGCAGGGCCTGGGGGCTGCTCAAAACTTGCCCCCCCCAACCCAGGGCCCCAGTCCCGGTACCTCCAGAGCTGTGTGGTTGTTGCCGATGTAGCGGGGGAAGAAGCTCCCCTTCCGAACGATGGTGGTGTACAGTTGGGTTTTGGCAGTGGCTCCCTCAGCTTTTCCAGACTGGGCGGGCTGGGGTCAGGGTGAGGGAAGAAGACACACCAGGAGGAGAGTGACTAAAGGGCAGCCCCCAGCCATAAATCCAGCCCTTTGCAGACAATCACTTGGCATTGCTCCACCGGGGCTCCGAGCTGATAATTAAAGCTCATGGTCCCTGCGAGCCTTTCCAAGATCAATATAATAAATCTTCCCTTTTCTATTTGAATATTTCATCGTCCTCATAAGGACCACGGCCTGCCTGCTCTCTTTGTGGAGATGTGATAACAGGGCCTGGGTTGTAAGCGGCCAGAAAGCCAAAAGGCCTGGGTGATGATCGCAGAGTCACAGCTGAAGTGTGAAGCCTTCCAGGCGAGTCACTCATCTCTCTGGCCCTTCCTGTCCCTGCTTGCCCCAGGTACCTCCTCCAGGCTTAGGGAAGGGGCTTAAGAAGGTAAAGATCCCTAGGTCATGGCTGAGAAGGTGTTTGGAAAGAAGATCAGTGCAGGGCTTGATGGGAAGAAAGGAGGGGAACTCACCCAAACTGAGCCCCCAACACGTGGCAGGTGCTTTGCCAGGGTCCTTAGGCCCATTGTTGCAACTGATTGTCCAAGTGCATGCTCAGTGTCTATTTTGCCGGTGAGGAATGGGGAGGCCTAGGGGGTTAAGCAGCTTCCTATGGATATACAGTTAGCAAGAGGCAGACCAGGTATAGGAACCTAGGCAACCTTGTATCACATTGTTCTTTACTCCAAACCACAAGAGGGGTCTGGAGTGCACACTGAGGGGAAAGTAATGCTCTGTTCATCTTGGTCCAGTGCCAGGCACATAGTAGGTACTAAGTATTGAGCCATGAGTGAGTGAGTTCTGCCTTCCACCAGTCGGCACTGGGGAGAGGGAGTGGGTGGAGGAGCCGTCCTGGGAAGTTCAAGCCATGGACTGGGATACCTGAGGCTCCCCACTCCAGGCTCCTGCCCACTTGCCTACTAAAGGGGTGCCCTCCAGGGGGCACTTTCTCTTCCACCTGCCCCAAATCTTCTGAACCTTCTTCCGGCCAACACACTATGTGGCAGCGCAGAAAGAAATGACCTGGGAGACAGGTGGCTGGGGCTCACCCTCCAATCTGCTACTCATCTGCTCTGTCACCCAGGTTGACAGGATTCCTCTCTCTAGGTCCCAGTCTTATGTATGCAAAATGTAATTCGCCTTGAGGATTAGAGATGGTGTTTGGCCCAGGACTGGGGACGTAGTAGGAATTCTGTAAATACTGTATTTCTTTGATTTTTAGATCTAGTTTCACTTTTTTTTTTTTTAAAGATTTTGTGTATTTATTTGACAGAGAGAGATCACAAGTAGGCAGAGAGGCAGGCAGAGAGAGAGGGGAAAGCAGGCTCCCCGCTGAGCAGAGAGCCCGATGCGGGGCTCGATCCCAGGACCCTGGGATCATGACCTGAGCTGAAGGCAGAGGCTTAACCCACTGAGCCACACAGGTGCCCCTAGTCCCACTTAAAAAAAAAAAAATTATTTATTCATTTGACAGAGAGAGATACAGTGAGAGAGGGAACACAAGCGGGGTGGGGTGGGAGAGGGAGAAGCAGGCTTCCTGCCGAGCAGGGAGCCCCATGTGGGGCTCCTACCCAGGACCCTGGAATCATGACCTGAGCCGAAGACAGACGCTTAATGACTGAGGCACCCAAGCGCCCCAGATCTAGTTCCACTTTAAACATACATGAAACCAGAATGTATCTTTCATTGGTGTATTCATTTAATGAAGTAGATGTTCCAAGCTGTTGGGCTGTTTTACAGAGATGAATTCAGAGAATTCCAAATTCTCATGGAAATCATTCTTATCTACCTGCCAGGAGCTGGGTTTCCTGAGCCCCATATGTTCCAAGACTTGTCATATTGCTGGGTGAGCGTGGGAGGCTCTGAGGGAACAGCAAGGGGGATCAAGGTGGGTCCCCTTACCTATCCCAGGCCCACAGGGACTCAGGGCCCTGACTCACCTTCACCAGCTCAAAATGGTAGGGGTGGAAGACACGCAGGTACTTGATGGGGATTTGGTAGGACAACAGCTCCTCTTTCTTTTTATTGTCCATCACCTTGAGGATCACATCTTAATAGAGAAAAAGGAGCACAATCTCAAAACAGGGCTTAGCTGACCAGCATCCCTCCCAGTGTGGAGGAGGTGAGATGTTGCCCAGAGCAGGGAGCAGGGGCCCTGCTGAGGAACCAACATGCACATGTACACATGCGAGTCACCCCCCAACACACAACACACACACACACACAAAAAAACACACACACATTCATAAGCACCATTTGAGCCCTGGCCCAGGGCAAGTCTCCATCCTAGGTGCTGTTAGAAACCAAAGATGCAATTCTGTCCTGCGGTCCAGGAACTCCCAACTCAGAGATGGACACACCTGGCATGGAACCCCCATATCAAGAGACACACATATGAGGTCATCTGGGTGGCTCAGTCGTTAAGCATCTGCCTTCGGCTTGGGTAATGGTCCCGGGGTCCTGGGATCGAGCCCTGCATTGGGCTCCCTGCTTGGTGGGAAGCCTGCTTCTCCCTCTCCCACTCCCCCTGCTTGTATTCCCTCTCTCACTGTCTCTCTGTCAAATAAATAAATAAAATATTAAAAAAAGACACACATATGATGGCAGAGACATGCACAGAAGCAGGAGTCATACCCTTTCCTAGGAGCTGCTTCCCTTAGTCACAGATGCTCTCACCAGCTCCTCAGGCAGGAAGGGGAGGACTTACCTCCCACATGTTGTAAATGGGGAAACTGAGTCTCAGTAAGGAAACAAGATCTGCTCAAGAAATCTCTCAGTACAAATACCAACAAAAGTCTACTCCAAGGAAATGAAAACTAGTCTAACACTAAGAACAATGCACCACTTAGAAAACTCCCTCCAAAGAGACTACATTTTGTTATAAAATGCATGAACTTCAGGATGAACTCTGAGGGGAATGCCAATAACCTGGAAATAAACATGCAATCCCACTTAATGAGCACCTGCTGTATACCAGATACAGGGATGGGTGTTCCTGAGTCAGTATTCCAACAAATCCCCACCACAACCCCTCAAGAAGGAATCACCATCTCTGTTTTTACAATGTGATTAGTGGAGCAGAGAGTGGTAAATAACTTGATCACCATCACAGAGATAGTAAATGTTTGATGGGAGACTGGGTTTTTGATCCTGGAAACGTCTTTCCATCCTGGAAGTCTGTGGTTTGAGGAAGAAGAGGCAGGGGAGAGAGAATGAGAGAGATGGAGGAAGGATGGATCTGAAAGGTTTAGAGAAAAACAGGGAAGGCAGGATGGGAAGGACAGGTGTAGCTGATGGAGACTAGAGCAGACCCTTGCCCTTTGCCTCTTTCCTGAGAAAAGGACATATCAGCACCACGGACAGCTCAACACTTGGAGCTGGATGGGTCATTTGCTTTTAAAAAAAAAAAAAGATTTTGGGACACCTGGGTGGCTCAGTTGGTTAGGCGGCTGCCTTCGGCTCAGGTCCTGGGATCAAGTCCCACATCGGGCTCCTTGCTCGGCCAGAAGCCTTGCTCGGCCATATGCTTCTCCCTCTGCCTCTGCCTACCACTCTGTCTGCCTGTGCTCGTGCTCTCTCTCTCTCTAACAAATAAATAAATAAAATCTTTTAAAAAAAAGATTTTATTCATTTGGGAGACAGAGCACAAGCAGAGGAAGAGGGAATAGCAGGCACCCCACTGAGCAGGGAGCCTGATGTGGGGCTTGATCCCAGGACCCTGAGATCATGACCTGAGCTGAAGGCATTTGCTTAACCAACTGAGCCACCCAGGCGCCCCTCGGTGGGTCAGATGGATTAATGTGTGGAAGAGAAGGAGAAGGAGGAGCATTTGCTAATTACTCTTCCTTTCTTCCTCTTCCACACAGCTACCCTGGATACAGAGAGAGGGAAAGACACTTGCCAAAGTCCCTCAAGTGCTGGCCATATGGGATCTGCGTTAAAAGGAAAGAAAGCAAAATGGGTACACAAAAGACTTGAGGTTGCCTTGAAGGAAGTCGAGTAAGACAAAGGATTTGAAGTGAGCAGACCTAGTACTAACACACCAACTTGCTCGGTGACCTTTAGTCAGTCACTTAACCTCTCTGAGCTTCATGTACCTGCTCTGCAAAATGTCAATATTTTAAAAAGGAAAAACCTTGTCCCTCCTACTATTGTTGTAGGGAGGGAAATGTGTTTTTCAAGCTATGAAATTCTAAGCAAGTGCTCCTTGTAGCTGTCACTATTTTCCTCCTCATTAGCCATCTGTAGTGCTCCATGTACTCACCCAGCCCTGAGCAGAACTGAAAAAACTCAGCTGGAGGATTCCAGTGCTCCCACCCAGAACTTCAACAGTAGCTGTGGAAGCTGTAGCCCCTCATGGCCACTACCCATGGGTTCTGAGTCCCCAAATCTGGTTGGAATTTGCTGAGGCTGAAAGAAGAGGTGAATGTCTTGCATTTTTTCCCCCTACCCCAATCTTGGGAACTCTGTGTGGGCATCCAGCAGATGAGCTATAATTGGGGGGAATGGACAGCCATCCCTCCCTGTTCCTGTCTCTATGCTACAAACACGCTTCATCAGCTTCTTCTCTGGGCACTGTGCCCCTCCAGCCTCCCACAGCTCCCTTTGTGTGGCCAACAAGCCATTTCTGCCACCCGCCTGCTTTGGCCCTGACATGGGTCTGCAACTCTCCTTTGATTTTCATTAACACCTCCTTGAGCTACCTCTTTCCCTCCCTGACATCTGTTGGCTTAGCCCCCATCTCCCCCGCCCCCATCACAGACATCACCACAGCAACCGGTTCCAACCAGGTTTCAATGAGCATCCAGCTACTTCAATCTGCAAAGAGGCACCTGCCAATATTCCGTCTATCCAGTAGGCCTTCCCTACCCTCTTGTTCTTTCTGCAGCGAGTCCCGTCCCCTCTCTGCTGCACAGATGGGCCCTAAGGCCATTGGCTCATCATGTCCTTTCCTACAGTCACCCAAAATGTGCAGAGCTCAAGGTGGGATGGGATCCCAGATCCACTCACCACAACCCCTAACACACATGCATACACAGACTATACACACACGTACTTCCAGGCAAACACCACCTCCCAGATAAATCTAGGCACAGACACAACACACTGTTGCAACACACACACACACATGACACACAGACATGCAAGCCTATGGCACAGTGACAAGCACATAGTCACACATACCACATTCACACATACACGCGGGCCAGCAGGCAGGCATTCACAAACACATGCACACACAGGCACACACATACATGTGCATGAAATCCTAGGTCAATTTTTCCTCCTCTCCCACATATTCTTAATTCACCCAGCAGCCCCACCTATCCCTTTATAGGCAGAAAAATATTCTCTGGCTTGACCCAGAAGTAGCCTCTTCCCCTTTTATTGATGTGCCTCCTCCCACTTTGCTTCTCTCCTCTTCTCCCATCTTTAGCAGCTGGCTTTCTGTTCTTCCCGAGGCAGACAAGAGTTCTAAGGCCCCAGTGAGATTTCAAGGGGAGAAGTAAATCCGGTCTCTGAGGGAAAGACCACCAGCCAGAGGAGAGCCTGAGCAGAGATATTATGGGCATGTGTGGGTCTGTGCTGACGAAGCCCAATGCCGATCCCCAGCGCTGTCCTGGCACCTGCCCGTCAATACTCCTGTGTGTGCCCAGCCTGAGCTCTCGCCTAAGAGCAGAAACCATGAGTGCACACATACACATGAACGCCTGTACCTGGAGATTCCGGTATGAGCCCAGCCTTGAAAAACTTAAATTACCTACAGTGTTAGAATTTGCTCAAAGTCAGGGACTGGAAAGGCTTCCAGGGGCAGAGGAGCAAGGCAGTTTCTACAAGAGCGCACCATGGTCCTCAGGAAGCACAGGAACACTGCTATCTGACAGTGGGCAGTGCTGGGGGAGATGGCAGGATAAGGATCCAGTCTAGGGAAGCAGTTAGAGCCCTGCAGCTGCAGTGGGGACATGTTTGCTGATCCTAGGTCCTCCACTTATGGACCACATGAGCTTGAGCCGGTTATTTCAATTCCTTGAACCTCAGTGTTCCCATCTAAGCAATGGGAGCAGCATCGCTTCTCCCAGGAGGTGTAATTCTAATGAACAATGCGTGGGGATGTGCCAGGAAGCTGTAATGTGCTGTTTCAGTGGGAGACGGCAGTAATAACAACCATGAAAATGATAACAGTGGCCATAAAAAGATAAGCTTTCATTGTCTGGAAAATTCATTTATGTGGAACAACTCATTTTTCGAGCAGACTGAGGAGATGAGGCATGACAGTATTATAATTTTTTTTTCTTTAAAGTGCTTTTAACTGAGCCCAAGGTGGTGTTCGGGTGGCTTCCAGCTGAACTGAGGGGCCAGCCTCTGCCTCACACCCCTCCCATGCACACCAGCCCCCCTCCACCCCTGCCTCACCTTCTCGCCCTGCATCCTCAGCTTGGAGCTCCACTTTGACTGTGTCCCCCCAGATGGGGGCTGTGGTGGGCTTGGAGGTCACAGATGTGACTGCCTTAGCATTCTGGTTCTTCATGTCCTCTGATGTGATTTTCCTGGGGACGGGAGGAGCAGGCTGAGTTAGAGGAAGGGTGTCCTGCCTGCTGGACAACTGTCCATAAATCTGAGCAAAGGGAGGACAAAGAATAAAGAGCTCCCTCCCAGGCAGACACACTCCGGTCATCCCAGGCCCAGGGGACACCGGGCCTCTCTCCTCAGATGCTCTGATGGCCTGGGTGACCACACTGTCTTGCTTACCACCGCTGAGGCCTTCCCGTGGACTCAGGCACCAGAGGCCAGGGGTGGGGATGGGAGCAAGGAGAGATGGCTTGCCTGTCTGACTTTCTGTCCCCTGCCTGGCCAGGGCTCCCCAGTAGGCGCCTGTGTGCAGAGACTCCCCGTCCTGACTCTTCTCTAGGCTCTGTCCGGTGGGAGGAAGTCTCTGGGCAGGGCGGCTGTGTGGTGCCTGCCTGGCTGGCTTCTCCTTTGACCTTCATTTCCCTAAGCTGCTGGCCCAGATTCCTGAGGCTCAGCCCAGCTTCCCGGGCTCTGAACCTTTTCAATGGAGCACATGCCAGCTACCGCCTTCGGCAGCACCCACTGTGCACAGGGCCCTGGGCTGGACGCAAGGATCTGGGCATGGGACAGGGCAGGGGGCAGTGAAGGGTCGTTTAGGGCCCGGTTGTCCAAGGTGAGGTGGGAACTTGGGCCCTCTGTCACCCAGTGCATCCCACAGGTGTCTGAGTTACATGTCCCTCAGTTCCCAAGCTATCAACCAGTTCAGCAAGAGAGTTAATCTTTCTTCTGTTGAGGATGTTATTATGTTGGGGCTGTAAATGGTGCAGCTACATTAACTGCAGCAATCATGGCTGAGGAATCATCCCAGAGCCCGGAGCAGGGGAGCCACAGCACGTACTAGGGAGGGGGAGGTGCTGCCGCTGGTTCTCCAGGCAGAAGCACAGATGGTGTCCTCACCAGCCTCGGAACCGCCCTCAGAGGCCCCCAAAGGAAGTGTGGGGCAGGCAAGTTGGCCCAGAAGCTCTGAGCCGATATGCCTCACGTGGTAGCTAAACCAGCCCGTGGTTTTCCCAGCCCATCCTACTCTCCTCCAGGAAGCCTTCTGGCTCCCCCCACTCCCCAGGTCCTCATGGCTCCCTCTGTCCTCTGGACCTGAGTGACATACCTGCCTGGATCTTTGCTCCCCGCTTGTCTATAGGACTCCCCTGGACAAGCATTCTTGTGAGACTCTGGTCTCACAACTGGAGACACCTTGTGGGGGGGGGTCTCTGGTCATTGTGACCAGAGTGTGGAGTCCTGGAGAGAGTACCCGCTTCAGAGTCACACACAACTGGGTCTGAGGCCACAGTTACCTCGTGACCAGGCCACCTGCCCTCTCTGAGCCTCAGTGTCATGCTCTGTAGGTGGGCCTCCCTCTCAGGACTGTTGTTAAGGACTGGGAAGAAACCATGTTAAGCTGCCAGCACACAGGAGGCCCCAGTCCATGTTATGCCCTCCTGTGGAAGATAAGCTGGGTGTTTCTAAGTTCGCCGACCCAGGGCAGCCTGGCAGGGCCCAGTGAGCGCTGAAGGAGTGCTGAGATGCAGAGGGGCGCGCCTCCCAGACACATTGCCTCCCCACACCTGCAAAGGGGGCCCCTCTGGCTGAGGGGTGTGTGGGAGGCTGCCAGGCTGGAGAGAAGAAGCAATTGAGGCTGGAAGGTAATTGGAGCTCCCTCCCTTCGGACTTCCCTGCTCACTCAGGGCTGCAATGGGAGCCCCTTCCTCCTGCCACCCTTGGTCTTGCACTCTGTGTCAGGACGAAGTCAGTCCTCTACACCGCAAACACCCAACCTGCTCCTGTGGGGGCATGTGGGCCTGTGTGTCCCTGGGGACTTGCCAGCACACAGAAAGGACAGACACAGGGGTGAGCAGGGGACCTGAGTCACACGCAGTGCAGTGTCAAGACCGCAGGTTGGAACCCAGGACCTGAACTTGCCAGCCTGTCCTCCACCCTCCTGAGAGTTCTTCAGCCCCTTGTCCCCTCCCCTTCTCACAAGCTCCTGGTAGGAGGGACTCCAGGTGGAATGAGATGGGGACGGGCCATGGACAAGGCCAAGAGAGCCTGCTGGTGCTGACTCTGTTCAGGCATAGAAGGGGTTAAGCAAGCATCTCTTTCCTCCTGTTCAGCCCTTCGCTCTGCACACATCAGAGAGGTCTGCCAGTGCTAGGTGAGTGGAAGCGAAATAACTCAGGAGGGTGAGACCCCTGGGGAAGGAGGGAGGCTTTTAGCAGGTGGAGGGAGGCTGTCAGGGTAATGGCTTTTCCTGGCACAGCTGATTCCTTCAGGCTTTGATGCTATTCTAGAAACCGGAAATCTAGATGGGTGAAGGGGGCCAGCTCACTCCTTGCTCCTAGTTCCCACTCTGCACTCCGAGCTGGGCACGTGGGTGGCTGGGTTCTGGGACCTCCAGCCCCTGATGGGGTCAGGTCTCCCAGGGCAGTTTCGGAATCCATGGGGCATCTTAGGGACCTGCCCCCACAAAGCTCAGCTGTAACAGCGGGGTCCTCCCTCCTCCCCACCCTGCCCTGGGGGAGCTGCGGGGTGCTGCCTGCTTTCCTGAGGTTCAGACTTAATCCAGCCATGGGGGGAGCAGTCACACCAGGATGGAGCTGGGGTTGGATTCAGAGGCACCGTGTAGCCATCCTGGGTCCCAAGCTGCCAGGAAAAGGAAACCCCTCTCTGCCAGGCCCACCCCGCAGCACACTAGAGGGATACGGTGGATGTTTGGCAAAGCAGCCAGGAGGCTCCGGGGCTCCCACTCAAGCAGGGGCTGGGGGTGAGACCCAGGCACATCTGTGAGTGGGAAGGAAGAAGATGGATTTTGCTCTCCTTCTCTGAGGCTGTAACACAGGGAGGGGCACGTGCTCCTGGGGCTGCAGCTGTCAGGAAGGTGAGCAGGTGGTGAAGCAAGGGGCACGGCCAGGGAGGGTGAGGGCAAGCTCCTGAGCCGCTCCCCCAGCCGCCACCCAGCCTCTGAAATGCCCTCTAGGACACACCTCTAGGAGTGGGATCCATGTTGCCACTGTCCCTGCCTCTCCTCTGCTTCCCCTCCCCCAGCACAAGCATGTGTGCTCACGTATGCACACATGTGTACAGAGACACCCAGCCTTCCCTGGGGAGGTCTGTGGTCCTCTCTGACCTCGTTCTTTCTCCAGCCCGCTTCTCTCCACACCCATGTGCATTGTCCTCTGAGGCCAGACAGGAAGGAGGGCAAAGCCCTGCCCTCATACCTCTGGCCTTGGCCAAGCTCCCTGGGGATTGCTGGGACAGAAGTTACAGCCAGGGATCCACAAAAGAGGAGCTAAGATCCCAGGCAGGGAGGCTGGGTCTGAAGCTGCCCTCTCTCGTCCTCCCGCTTTACTGGACCATGGCCCAACAACATCAACGCCCCCTACTCTGAGGGCGCCCCTCCCCCCGCCCCCAGGGCTGCTGGTTCTTGAGGGTTCTGAGCTCTTGGGAGGCTGCCACTTCAGGCACGAGAAGGGCTGTTATTCTTAGCAAAGTAATGGCTCTCATCCTGCGTTTCATTTATTAATTGGACTCTAATGAACCATCACTAATTGCTGATGGTGCCACACCACTACAGGTGGGCCTTGATGGAAGGAGTAACCGAACCTGGAGCGCTGGAGGCCAGCCAACTCCCCATCCACGTGGGTGTGGCTGCCCCACCTGCACCTTCCGCAGGGAGGGGGGACTGCCCCCCACCCCCCGAATCTGACACTCAGAAACAAGGCATTCCTAGGAACTCTGAGATGAGCACTCCGGCAGAGGGAAACTTTCCCAACCTTTTCCTACAAAGCCGGGATGCTGCTCCCCACCTCCCTACCCATAGTTCATGTGAAATAATCCCCCTGCTCTCAGGGGAGCCCCTCGAGGTGAACCGTGTACCCCTACCCCCGCTCAGGGAGGCAGCAGCGAAGGTGGACTCCTTCCACACGACCCAGGGGAAGATCTCAGCCCACAGAATTTTGTGATGGGTGAGAAGCCAGACTCAAGCCCCGCTCTGCTGGGTATTGTCATACCCTCGGTCTTCTCCTAGAAAGGATTTCCTTGTTTTCCAGAGAAGCCTTTTTTCTCAGCGGAGACGGGAGGTGGTGCATGGTCAAATTCGATCTGCCAGTCTTTGGAGCATCCCGCTGTGGTCCATGCTGTGGTTTAGCTTGCTGAAAGGCTCCGAGAGCCATCTTCTTAGGCAAAGGGGAAAGGGTCCAGCTGTCAGGCCCTACCCTGGCCCTGAGAGTTGGAATGACAGGTAGTCCCTTGGTTGAGTACAGGCATAGGGGAAACAGCCCTGCCTGGGAGGCCCTTCTCTCCATGACTTGAGATCCTTCGTGATGGGTCTCTTGGAACACCATCCTCTTCCCAGTGTCACCTTTCTCGTGGATGCAGTCTTCATGCAGGAGGAATGTGGGCAGACATACAGGTGAGTTTCCCCGCCTCAGGAAAATGACCCGACTCACTCTGATTCTTGTTTCTCTCCGATGTAGAGCCCTGCCTCCTGCCCTCTTCCTGAGACCAGCCTTCCCCTAGGGGTCCTGATGCCCAAGTGCTGGGGTCTGGAGCCTGCTTAGCTGCCTTCTGCCCGGGAGATGTAGGCAAAGGACACGTGAGTATTATCTGTTTAGTGACCCCTGACACACACACACTGGACTGTGACGATGAGCGCTTAGGGGCAGGGGCTTGTTACTGCTGGAGCTGTTTCCGGTTCCCCTCGGGGAACAGTGGGACCCAGCAAATGTTTGTTGAATGAAGGAAGGGGTGGCAGACACCTGGAGACTCACACAGAGACGGAGGCAGCTCCTCCTCTCCGGCTCTGTGAGGCCAGCCCCCTGCCCAGACTGCTGAGACCCTGTTCTATACCTGGGTAGCTTTTCAGCACGGCCCCAGGAGCAGCTCTGGGCTGGGAGGAGGGTTCAGATCTCAAGTTCTAGCCCAAGAGTATGTCCTCAAAGGGAAGGAAGCACAGCCCAGCTGCAGAGGGTGGGCTCCCCCAAGG